TATCCAAAAATTGATGATATCGTTTAAAGGGTGGGGACGCTACTCGCCAAACAGTAATGCTGGATCTGACAGACTCAAACAAACCTTCGTCCCGATCGCCGACCACCAGACATGTCGCAGGGTCAATGGTGGTTCAGTCAAGGAAAATAGCATGGTCTGTGCAGGTGGTAAAGGAACGAGTGTTTGTAATGGTGAGAGCGGTGGACCGTTATCGTGCGAGGAGAATGGTAGATGGGTGTTACGTGGTGCAGCCTCGTGGGTAACTGATCGAAGCTGCCCTAGAAATACGTACTCTGTGTAYGCTAGAGTTAGCGAGTTTATTGACTGGATAACAAGAACCATACAAGGTGAGAATGGATATATTTAGGACATCAAAAGTGATTTGTAGTAATTTGTTTCCTTTCTATCATAGCAAATGGCGGTGGAGGTGGTGGTGGTAGCGGCGGCGGCATTGGATCAAGTGAGTATACGCATTTACTTCCCGTAATATAAACAAAAACTTAATCTTTATTATCCCTTTATGCTCTATGAATGGAGTTATTGTATGGTCCAATCTTTAAACCGACGGAWTGCGAATGGATATTTAAAGTCACTTCATTTTCCATCCAAATATAAAAAATCTAAAACACGGCCGCATTGAATGCTGGCATGGATAAACAAAGCTAAAAAATAAAAAGATAATAAAGATAATAAGAAAAAGAACTATTTTATTAATTAAGATAATAAGTGCTTTTATTATCCATGATGTTGGTGGGCCATGTCTCTTTAATCACCATTGTAACATGATGTATTCATCATATAATCTGTTAATTCACCCCGGCTTCTAGGTTGTTCTGATAGCAATCAGCATTGCCCTGAATGGGCGAATGCAGGCCACTGCAGGAAATCACATGTCCAAACGACTTGCCGAAAAAGCTGTGGGAAGTGTTCAGGCGGTGGTGGAGGTGGTGGTAAGTGATGTAAAGAGATACTCGATTTCAAATACAAACCAATGACCTTTTCCGCTAATGACGTCATGTATATATTGACGAAATGCACCATGGTGTTGCTAAAAGCAGAGTCCAGATATAGGGAGACTGGGCCTAGYCTAATGTTGTTCGCCTAATAGACCTTTTTTTACGGACACCATCTTGAATTTTGAAGAATTTATGGGGGCAAAATCACACATTGCCGTTCAAAAATTAAATTAATGATTCAAAACATTTAAATGTGTCACGTTTTTCACGTTTCAAGATATGATTTTCCATCTCATAGCATTCTAAAAGCTCTACAGTTTATGATTTCTTGTTTAGTGGCCCCAGGACATCCCTCTGAATCGATCCACTTAAAATAATATAATTCAAGATGGCGGTCGTATTAGCGAAAAAGATCTGTTCAGAAAACTTCAATTTATTATAAATTGCGGCATTATTTGCTCGTTTCTTTGCTATGTTTGAATGAAAGAGTTTTATGTTTGTTTTTCAGGTTGCGTTGATAACAATAGGGATTGTAACAAGTGGGGCTACCTATGTAACACAAATGACTATGTGATTAATAACTGCAAGAAAACCTGTGGGACCTGCTAATGTGAGTATGTTTTGGGAAACGTGTATAGCAATATACTGTGACAATTGCAATGTTAAAGTGCTTCTTTGAAATGTGTTTTCAGGAACTATAACATGGTTTACCTCACTGGTACTATATAAACGAAACATGGTTCTATTTGTCATTGATTCGCTGATAATTTGGAATGGGATATCAAAAAATCAATAAAAGATCTTAAGATTTCATTTTGTTTTCTACTTTTTCTTTTGATTTTTGCTTGCTTGTTTCTTGTTTTTCTTTATTTTATTGTCGCTGTTGGTTTAGATATTTTGATTTGTGTTGATTCAGCAGGAATAAAGACAATGCTATTCAATGTTATTCAGGCCTTCCCTATAAGGATTTCTCTTTAGAACATTTCTTTGGCCTCTGCTTTTTCTCTTTTGCTCCATCTGCGATTAAGTAAGTGAGTACAGCACTCAATTCCCAGCCAGTCGTTSGYTTGATGCTCGCGMCATTGTAAGCTTTACATTATGAACTGAAAACGTAAGGATCAGCACTGATTCAACAAAGACTGAACAAAGTCAACAAAACGATTGATATTTCGTCCGCTTTCAATGGACTTTAATCTCCAATAAAACCGGGGGATGWCAGCAAGCCTCACAATAGTGAGAATTTCATCTGTATATACAAGGTTTTSAATAAGGATACTGGCAAACASCAATTGTTAGAGCAACCGCTATATATGCAAGATTATTCGGAACKATCCAATGCACTGCTAGTTTTTAAACATCTTTATAACAATATTGCCACGATAAATGGTGTTTAATTTTATGTAAACGATTGAGAGCAGATTGTACGATGGTACTGGGTGATCCAGCAGTCCTCGTCCGGTACTGTGAGGGATGCTACGCTCTAGTCTTTTGAATTTCATATAAGTAATTGTCTTTTCATATCGTTAAGACGGTTTGGTATAAAGGTCTTTTCTATTACACGTTTTTTAATCATATCGATGCTCAATAATTTACGTTTTACTGTAATAAAATAACAAATTCAAAAAAATAAAAATGTGGTCTTAAAATGTGCATTGGAAGAAGTCACAGGTGCCAAATATATAAGGACTACATTTTAAAGTGTATTTTGAGTTTCATGTGACGCAGTCGTTAAACTGTAAACCCCCCCGCCCTGTCCCCCCGGTTAAAACTAATAAAGTTATTCCCAGACTGACAAGTTGTTTGTGTTCGTCAATTCTTGGTGAATGTTGAATTAACTGTGTTAACATCTTCCATTCAAAAGATGCAGTTTGCCAGATCGATAAACCATCACAAAGACACGGTATTTAGCCAGTTTGTATCTCAGCTGCACATGTCGTAGGGTCATATAGAACGTTAAGGGCATTGTAGAATACCATTTGATCGCGAGATCATCATGTTGTGCACACTTCTTGTGGCTTGTTTCGCTGTACTTGGACCCTTGGCTCAAGGTAACATTATCCGCTCTTAAATACTACATACCTGACGTAATTTGTTGTGACATGGTAAAAATTGTGAAAATTAATCCCTTGAAAGGTGGTCCTTTTTATCGTCCATTGCTCGGTAATCCTTTGTACGAGTGCTTTTTTAAAAGGGCAAAAATTGTTCAAATCTCGATAAGCGCTTAAAAAAAAACTATTGAGTCAGTATCCCACTTCAGAAAAAAACGTAGTAGAAAAACAGAGAATTAGTGGATCCCTATCTGAATACAGTACCGCCGCATGAGAGTGTTGGTGATGCAGTAGTGTGTTGTATAGAGGAAGTCAATATATAGAATAAATGTATAGACAAATAGCCGAGTTTAGATATTTTGGTTCAGTGACCATGCACAAAAGAATTGCAGACGAGGCTCCGGGGAAATAAAGAATAAAACGATATTATACGCTCTTTGATTGGTCATTTTGAAGTGTGCACTTCAAAATAACTCTTTGCAATATTAAAAAAAATAAAATTATCAATGGATAATCTTGATTTATTCTTTATTTCCCCGGAGCCTCGTCTGCAATTCTTTTGTGCATGGTCACTGAACCAAAATATCTAAACTCGGCTATTCGCGTAAAAACGCGTTTTTAAAAAATTTAGCCATTAAACTGGTACAAGCAGAAACCGATAGAGGACTTGAATCAAGTCCATTATAGGTTTCTGGTACAAGGTAATACGACGTATACTGCTAGCTAGTCTAATTCATTTGTAACCGGGTCAACCAGCTTCCCAATGTGGGCGGAGACCTTCAGGCGCCCGCGTTGTGGGTGGAGAAGAAGCGAAGCCCAATTCGTGGCCATGGCAACTGTCATTRCGTGTTTACGGACGTCACAACTGTGGAGCCTCTCTTGTTGATCCTTACTGGGCTGTAACCGCTGCTCACTGTGTTGGAAATTCAAACCCGGCTGTCTACTCCSTCCTGGCAGGCAAGTCATTCCTATTTTTATGAATATGAGGACTGCATGGCACTATGATAGACACGATATAGAAATGAAAGAAAGTTAGAGTGCTTATAAGGAGGCAATTCCGGGAGAAAGACACTAAAAAATAATTTTTTCCGAATTTATTCCTAAAAAGGTCTTTCTCCCGGAATTGCCTCCTTCTAAGCACTATAACTTTCTTTCATTTCTATATCATTCCTATATTCATCAGTRCTTGAAAGTACTTCTCCCAAGTTTGTCATATTACTGATGAAAATACGCTATCGTGCCAACAATTTGTACGTAGATTGAGGCTCTAATAAACCATCTAATCTAATCACTCRCAGGTGCACATGATCGTTCMAGAGGAGGCACAGAGTACAAGATCTCCAGGGTCATCGTTCATCCTTATTATGATCGTAGAACCATTACGAATGATGTCGCCTTGCTAAGACTATCAAGTCCTGCTCAACTAAACAACAAAGTTGGACTTATTTGTCTGCCAAGACAAGGTGATAGGGTACCAGCGAGAAAGCAGTGCTGGATGAYTGGTGAGTATACTATAGCCAATAGAAGTAGAACCGTTTTTTAAGAAACTGATAGCCAAATTACCACCACTTCTTCAGCGCAGATACAACTACCTATTATACTCGATTTTTGTTATCATATCGTGCGAAATCTCAATGATTTCTTTATTACAAGTTACTCCCTGAAGCAGCACTTTCCTAAGCAGATAAGGCAATATCACGTTCAACCTCATCCAATAATTCCAGCAATTTCTTAAAGTTTTAATACAATACTGGAATATTACATTTTTCGATATTATACTTATTCTATTTAATAATTGTTTTAATATATTTTGCAGGTTGGGGACGCTTTAATCCAAACCACAATTCTTTATCTCCTCGACTAAAACAAACCTTCGTCCCAATCGCCGACCACCAGACATGTCGCAGGGTTAATGGTGGTTCAGTCAAGGAAAAAAGCATGGTYTGTGCAGGTGGTAAAGGAACGAGTGTTTGTAATGGTGACAGCGGTGGACCGTTATCGTGCGAGGAGAATGGTAGATGGGTGTTGCGTGGTGCAGCATCATGGGTTACCAATCGTAGATGTCCTGGGAACACGTACTCTGTGTATGCTAGAGTCAGCGAGTTTATCACCTGGATAAACCAGCAAATGAAAGGTATTCAATGTTTAATCTTTGAATTAAACATCTTATAGAAGTATTCACAATAAAGCAAACAAGTTTCATCCCTTTTTGGCCTCTTATCGAGTACAGACGTATGGAAAAATAATGCTAGCATAAATTAGCAATATTTGGTGGTATTTCTGTTGTATAATTTTCCAGTTATTTATGTAATTTTCAAATACTTTGAATACTTATTTCAATATATACARTAAGATTAAGGCTATAAATTAGTCACAATAAAAAATTTAAACGTTTTCGACTACAAGTCAACATCAKAATAACATTTCAATATGTTACGACTCAAAGTTCTACACGATGCCGTAAAGTCCACATTTTCCCTTAGACAATCATTTAGCCCCGTATATAAACCAAGTCATGCTATTCTTTCTGATATAGGAAATGGCGGTGGCGGAGGAGGAGGTGGTGGCGGCGGCGGAGGAGGGTCAAGTAAGTCATTAGCTTCCATATGTCATTGAGATAAGTTCTCTTCTAATAAAATTGCATCGCTTTGTTTTAGATTGCGTTGATAAAGATAGACGCTGCAGATACTGGACAAGGTACTGTCGTACCAATAGTTATGTGAAGACAAACTGCAAAAAAACCTGCCGCCTTTGTCAGTGTGAGTATTTAGTTTACTCTCATAACTCCGATGGTTGTACTTAACCTTTTAAAAAAATATCACCTGATTAAGTCCTCCGTGTTTCATCACAACTGGCATGTTGGATGAGCAGAGCAAATTATTCAAGGTTTTAACAGTTGCTCCTTTGGTCATTCATCCACCATGGCAGCTATGATATAGAGTATAGATCCTAAGAAATGTCGAAAACAATGGATTTTTTGAATCCAAAATCCTTTAAATAATGTTTCTTTCAAATGTGTTTCAGAAATGACAACATGGCTAATGATGCAGTCTTTCACTTAAGATGGAATTGGGRATTTCTTTCATAATCGGTGTTGGGACACACAAAACCACACAAAATGTTCAAATAGATGTCTGAGTAGTTTATTTTCATCAATAATTTGTATAGCTTAGCCTTGGGGAAAACATCTTGGTTACAAATAAATTAAGGAAGAATGTCACTGCGTTTTTTTTTGTTTTCTTTTTATGAATGTTAAATGTTATTGCAATATATAGAGTGCATGGTTTTCATTAACCCGTGAAACACGTACTTTAGCGTATTTATCGCTATTACACTTTGGCTCCTTTGTTTTTTATTGTCTCTACGCGACTATTACGATCTATTACACTCTAATTATTACACTTTGTTTCACGGGTTTATGAAAACCACTCTATACGAGAAGTTTTGTTCTTAACCTTATTATTTCCAAAGTCTTTTCTTAACCTTTCTCGCTTCACGTTCATCTTCAGACGAAAGCTTGACGAATAAATTTCGCTACGCACGCAAGAACAACAAACTCTGAGTGACTATTTGTCCAGTTGTTATTTCTCTCCCTTGTGTTTCTTCAACACACAATCGGTATCATGGCGAATAAATTATACTCAATACTAACATGGCTCGCTCTCAATATTTCTGGACACAATCATTAAACAAAATTATTTGTCCGTACAATTTTCCCCATATAAGCACCTACATTCCATAATTTCGACAAAATTCAAGATGGCGACTGTAATGTAAGAAGGCCTATTGATGTCACTGGTTTCAATGGGTGATGCATCTTTAAAGGCCGATTTAGACGGCACAACTTTTGCCTGAAACCATCGCATGCAACCTGCTTAAGCCATCCTTACAACATGGCTACAACTGTCGTGTGGCTATTAAGCAATTGTTTTAAATCCCTACGACAGTTGTAGCCATGTTGTAAGGACGACTTACGCAGGTTGCATGCGATGGTTGTAGGCAAAAGTTGTGCTGTCTAATTTGGCCTTAAACAAACTCATCCAACGCTGAAAAAATGGGTTCTTTGACGATGTTGAACGGTATTGATTGAGTGATTTAAACATCTTTGATTAGATAAGGCAAAACTTTCAACCAATTAGCCTATGGGTAGCGGACTCTTATCGTGTCTTCCCGTCTATGATATCCTGCAGTGTTTTTTAGTAAGAAAGCCTCATAGGGCGTAGCATTTTTTTCTCCATGAAGAAATTTTGTTTCGCTCCTCTACTTTTCATATCAGTTTCTAAAAACGCGTTTTGATGAAATAATAAATTAATCATTAAAACACGATATCCATTCCAGGCAAATGAAATAGTATCCATAGACTGACTACTTTTGTTTGTTTTTGTCAAGTCTTGACGCATATTGCGTTTACTGTGCAAACGTGGTCCATTCTGAAGACGCAGCTTGATAAACCGATAAGTCATGACCATCACACCATGTTTAACCATCCTCTACTCCAGCTGTACAAGGGGTATGGTTGTAGCTAACATATAGAACGGTGAATATCCATCGTTTGATACCATAAAATCAAAAGCACCATGTTGTGCACACTGCTTATTGCTTGTTTTGCTGTACTAGGACCGTTGGCTGAAGCTCAAGAAGGTAAAACTTATATCTACTTTCAAGCGAGGTGGATCGAGGACATATTTTACTAATTCCATAAGTAATGACATGGGTACCACGCTTTTTGAGCTCGGAATGGACTTAATATTAAAGATCATGAGTTAACTGATTTTATGTGGTATTGCAAGTATTTTTCCAAGTGAAATGTTATTCTTCCCAGCATTGTTACATACTGCTCCTTAAGCCGGGGAGCTGGATATAAAGTTCATATTTTTCTTTTTACCATTGATATCTCTCTACTTATAGTAAAAAAATGTCATTTTGTATATCAATAACGCCGCTACAAAATGTGTCAATACTCAGTCAACTATTTTAACCATTTCAAATCGGTTTCACCAGCTTCATGTGGGCGAAGACCTTCAGGTGCCCGCGTTGTGGGTGGAGAAGAAGCAGTCCCCAACTCGTGGCCTTGGCAACTATCATTGCGTGTTTCTGGACAACATATTTGTGGAGCCTCTCTCGTAGATCCTAACTGGGCTTTAACCGCTGGTCACTGCATCCGAGATAATTCAAACCCAAATGCTTACTCCCTTCTTGCAGGCAAGTTGTTCATATTCTCGTTCTCTATGTCTGTATTCCATTAAAAGTTGTCGACAATTAGAATTTTCCTGGAAATGTTTATCATCTCTTTGCAGTAGAAAACTGAAAAGAGCATTGAAAGAAAAAACAGATGAAGTATAGTTTTGAATAAATATCCTCTGAATTCGTGTTATGTTTTTACTAATGGCTATATATGCCACGGTTCTAGGAGCTCACTATCGTCAACGCGGCGGCACCGTGTACAGCATAACCAGGATCATTGCTCATCCTAATTACGACAGAAATGTAATGAACGACGTTGCATTGCTCAAACTAGCAAGACCCGTCCAACTAAACGACAAAGTCGGCCTTATTTGTCTACCAAGTCAAAGTGATAGGATATCACCAGGAAAGAAATGCTGGATGACTGGTGAGTACCCAGGGATCCTGTGATCATCCAATAATTTATGATATCAWTCTCAGYATTATCTAATAATGAATGATATCATGCTCAATTCTATCCAATAAATAATTATATCATGGTCAATGCTATCCAACAATGAATGATATCATGCTCAATATTATCCAATAATGAATGATATGATCAGTGTTATCCAATAATGAATGATATCATGTTCAGCTTCATCCAATAATTAATGATATAATGTTAAGTGTTATCCAATAATGAATGATATCAAGTTCAGCCTCATCCATTAATTAATGATATCATGTTAAGTGTGATCCAATAATGAATGATATTATGCTCAATGCTATCCAATAATGAACGATATCATGGTCAATGCTATCCAATAATTAATGATATCTTTTAAAGGGTGGGGACGCTATTCTCCAAACAGTAATGCTGGATCTGAAATTCTCAAACAAACTTTCGTCCCTATCGGTGAGCATCAAACATGCAACAGGGTCAACGGTGGTGGAGTCAGAGAGAATTTGATGATCTGTGCTGGTGGTAAAGGAACGAGTGTTTGTAATGGTGACAGCGGTGGACCGTTATCGTGTGAGGAGAATGGTAGATGGGTATTACGTGGTGCAGCCTCGTGGGTAACTGATCTAAGATGTCCTGGGAATACGTACTCTGTGTATGCTAGAGTCAGTGAGTTTGCTGACTGGATAAAGAGAACAATGAAAGGTAACAATGGTATTGTAAGCATGTGAGAATGTCAAGCTCTCATTGGTCGATAAGAAGTGTTTTATAAAGGCAAAGGAAATCCTTCTCCCAAGCATATATATTGTATTGATGTGCATAAATTACCACAGGAGTCCTCCATTTCTTATAAAAGCGCCACACACAACCAAATGATCAATGTTAACTTAATTATATATAATCATCATGATGAATTGACTTTTTTCTTATATACATGATATAGGCGGAGGAGGAGGAGGAGGAGGAGGAGGAGGAGGCGGCGGATCAAGTAAGTGCATGCCGCAATTCTTAAGAATTTTATAATGTTTGTAGTTATGAATCGATATTGAATGAATTAATACTCTATTATTTCTCTTTTGATTATGTGCAAAAATATCAGATATGCACTGCACAATGACATCATCTTCCATCTACTCATTTGTATTTCTCATCGTATGTACACGTCTTCATTTGATTCAAGGCTGTTACGATGACATCAATGACTGCCGCCAATGGGCAAGTCAAGGGTACTGTAGACAGCCTGATATCCGAAGTATCTGTCGTAGAAGCTGTGGAGCCTGCTCGGGTGGCGGTCAGGGYGGTGGTAAGTGACAAACAAATCGACATTGAAGTGGTTTCAAAAGCGCACCTCAYAGGAGAGACTAGAATCTAGGGAAAGATTATGAGGGTACACTATTCTTTCTCAGCTTCCTTTCACACCGCCCCTGCGCCATCACACAACTCCCCCTTCTTCCCTCCATAAAAGCAGTCATCACCATAGTAACAGAGAGACAGGCACACAGACAGACAGACACTATTTTAATATGACAACATTCTTCATTTAGGCTGCTCTGATGTAATTGTGAACTGTCAGGAAGTGACCTATTTATGTCGGTCTAATAGCTACATTAGGCAAAACTGCAGGAGAACATGTGGTTATTGCTACTGTAAGTATTGACATTTGATATTTAAATAGAATGTGATTTGGGGATTCGTCCAAAAGTCAGGGCAGTGACATGGTTTATGATATCAGAGATCTTCCGCGTTAGTTTGAGATCAGGAATCACTGAAAAYTTTAGCCTTGCGAATCGAGATTGAAAAACAAAATGGGATCTCGTATGTAAAAATCATACCATGTCATAAACCTGAGAATTTAAATCTCCCGATAATCATTACACATGAAGTTAGGCTAAGAATTTGGTAAATTCACCGTCAAAGCTAATTAACATGTATACATCATTATAACAAAGATAGCTCTAGTACTAATACAATATACAGTCATTTATTCAAACGTAATTTATGTCGTGTTTTTCAAATGATTTCAGAACTGACAGCATTGCATGGTTCAAGGACATTATTTCTAGAAATGCTGGTATTTAGAGGTGTTGGGTTAGGATAGATCTTTCGTGTCATGTGATTCACATCATAAAGCATTAAAAAAACTGCAATTGCTTTGTCGTTGTTGTTGTTGATGTTCTTGTGGCTAATTGTTGTCAGTATTTTACAAAAATCTATGCACATTTTCTCTTTCCTTACTTCCCAATAACTTCTTTATCACTCGCGTAACTCGGTATGTGTACGTCTTTCTTGCCTTCAGCAAAGACATGACGAAAAAATAAGCAAACTTGTAATCTAAGACATCTAGCATGCATTGCGAGCGTTTGTCTTATTTAAAGTCTTACGTCATCACGTGTGACCTTATGCAGTCGAGCAAAATATGTGAAAACGCTTTACAAAGTATTGTATAGTAGMATTTATACTCGGATTCACGCACTATAATTTGTTCTTTTTTAAGTTATAGGTTTTCGGGAGGCTTAAAGCAAATATGAATCATAACAACGTTGTGTGCTTACTGGTTTAAGCCTCGTCTTCAAGGATTGTTGCTATGTTTTCACATTAGCGCACATTGACAGGAAGGTGCCTATAAATAATATATATATACAAAGTCAATACAATGCACGCTTCATATCAGTGGATTTCTTATTCACGTTATCGCCTTTTTGGCTTATAAACAGAACAAATTTCTCCTTATTTCTCTAACAAACGCGTGAGCCAACCTTTCAGTGTGACTATGTATTGAAAGAGCTATCTCAACAACCCTTCCTTCACTAAACAAAAACCCTAAACATGACAGAGTGTTTGAACAACCTGTGATTCAGCTGTGCAAGTGCTAGCGTTTGAATGGAGATATATACCTACTATTCGCCGTTGAATGCTATTAGATCAACATGTTGTATACACTTGTGGTTTGTATTGCTGTACTGGGACCTYTAGCTGAAGGTATGTACAGCCATGTTACGATATAAATACCTAATTGGAAATCGCTCTTAACAGCACAACAAGAACAAGGCGGAAGGCGACTAACGACCTTTTAACTGTTTTTCAAAGCATTCATTTGTCAGATAATCGATTTTTGAATCTTTATCAATGTGGAATCCTCTGTATGCGTGATTTATATTGCAAACGTTGTGTTGCAGCTTCACTTAAACGTTTCTTTTCGTTRGATTGTGTGCTTTTCTCCGATATAATTTCATGTTGAATGCTAACTGCTCTGTTTTGAACCGGTTTAACCAGCGTCCTGTGGACGGAGGCCCTCAGGCGCCCGCGTTGTTGGTGGAGAAGAAGCAGTTCCTCACTCGTGGCCATGGCAACTGTCATTACGTAAATACGGACGACACAACTGTGGAGCTTCTCTTATTACACCTGAATGGGCTGTAACTGCTGGTCACTGTGTTCGCAGAAGTCTTAATGCTGATGTATACTCGGTCCTGGCAGGTAAGGTCCTTTGAAAAGCACACCCTCACACTTTACACTCTTGTTAAAGTGTACTGCAGCGAGCYTATGGCTCTGTACATGCTATATACTTTTCTAGTGCATGTGTAAAACACATTTTGCAATGTGTTTGACTGAGGAAGTTTCCCAAAAGACTAAATATTGTGTTTCTGTTATTTTAGGAGCTCACGAACGCTACAACGGWGCAGGAACAGAGTACAAAATCGCAAAAGTCATTTTACACAAAGACTATTCCCATGTGTTTAACGATGTGGCGCTGCTAAAACTAGCGAAACCSGCTGTTCTGAATGACAAGGTCGGCACAATTTGTCTGCCAAAACAGGGGGATAGAATCCCAGTTGGAAAGAAATGCTGGATGACTGGTACGTTCGTATGAAACGGAAAATAATATAACAAATATAAACTGATGGTYTAGAATGTCGTCTTCCAATTCCAGGTTGGGGTCGTTATGATCCTAATCACAACAGTGGCTCGCCCAAGCTTAAACAAACTTTCGTCCCGATCGCCGACCACCAAACATGTCGCAGGGTCAACGGCGGTTCAGTCAGGGAAAGTACGATGGTCTGTGCAGGTGGTACAGGAACGAGTGTTTGTAATGGTGACAGCGGTGGACCGTTATCGTGYGAGGAGAATGGTAGATGGGTGTTACGTGGTGCAGCCTCGTGGGTAACTGATAGGAAATGTCCTGGAGACACGTACTCTGTGTACGCTAGGGTCAGCGAGTTTATCAACTGGATAAAMCAGCACGTCAAAGGTATAATTTAAAGCTTATCTTTCTCAGAATTCCCTAAATACACGCAAAACGTTTAGATATGTAACAGGATATTAGGTCATTTGTAACAGATTGGTCGCCTCCTGAGTATCGCCTGAGCATGGCGCATTGTAATTTTAATCTTTATATAACCTTGATCTATTTCAGGGATTCCGGAGCCAAGTGGACCGCCAAGCCCACCTCCCCCACATACCCCTCCCTCACCAAACACACCAGCACCCCCTCGACCAACTACTTCGTCGCCAGGTAAGATGAAATAATTAAAGATTTTAAAAAATTCGACTATTGAAATAGTTTAATTAGGCATGCTTGCATATCAATAATTGTGACATTTTCGTTTTAAAGTTTTGCACCAATACGTCCATTCTTAAATGATAAAAAATAGAATTACCATTTTTTTAAAGGCTTTTTAAGTTTGCGTGTAGTATATCCCAATAGTATATTATATATTCTATTCTTCAGGGGGTTGCAAAGATTTATGGGGCTCWAGTAGGTGTAAAATCTATGCCAGCTCTTGCTATCAGTCATTCGTCAAGAAAGCTTGCCAAAAAACATGCCGCCTTTGTAAGTATTCAAGTCTAGATTATTAAAAAAATAATAATTGATCCATATTYGGTCACTGCCTTCATGGATTGTTCCGTCAGTTGATAGTTTTTATGGTTGATTTCAATATCGGTTGGTCGATTGATGGTCTTGTTTGCTCGTCGTTTCTGTTCGTTCTTTAACATCTTTTTTTCTTTTTTTTTTTTTGCGGGTTAAAATGGATTCTGTGTAGTTAGACCATAACATTGCATTTATCGAATAAAAATGTCTGCAACACCATAAACCTTGTGTTTGATTTGACTTTACATAATGACTAAATCAACTCGCGCAAGAACTTGTGTTTTAGTATTGATACCGCTAGCAAGAGCCTCAGTAGTTWATATTCTATRAAACAYATTYATATTCAACTGATCTTCGGATTGGTTTGGTTTGGCTTGGAATATAAAGTGTGTTTATTATKAATCGAACTATATTTTTCATCTGRATAAGTTTATTCTATCAGTCAAGTCCCGACAAAGGTAAAAWAAGAGGCAAAACACACTCAGRCATATATGTTGTCTCATAAGAGTASTTATAACTTTCTTCATTTGGTAATAACTCCCCTGTACGCTATTCCTCCCCATTCCCTCTCTCCTTCTCAACCTCTGGTGAATTTCTGGACCCTCCGATGCGCCCAGAAACACAAGCGTCTTTGCTCACTAGCAGTATTGGCAAAGCTATTACAATACACGCGCTTGAACAACACTAAATGTTGATATACATAGACAGTTTCTATAAACAAGTGTGGATTGTTGACCAAACTTCTTGAGCAGCTGAAATTTCAGCTGTAATGGCTTTCTTTGACACCTTGTATGGCATAAAATACGATCTTGTAGTGGCTTAGATTAGATTGGCACTGACCTTTCGACATGATGTTTGGACTATTTGTGACTTTTTGTCTCTCGGCTGTTGCCTTGACTAATGGTAAGGTTTGTTGTGTGCCCTGTGTCTCTTTAATAAGGGTCTTAAAGGACCTCAAGTGAATATATACCACGATTTTCTTTATTTTGTAAATATCATTTTAGAAGAATAGTCCAAGTAAGAAACTTGTTACGGCTTTTCAAAGCCATCTCAGAGAAATTATGGAACACCATGAGCTGATTTGATATTTTCATTTAGTTGTAAAGCACTAAGGATTTCAAAGTAGACGATCTCAATTCAAGTAGGAAAGTTGTACGTAAAAAAGAAATATCTCAACAGATATGTGGCTTTAAACGGCTTACGAAGTGATGATACTTTTGAGGGTTTTTAGATACATAAACAATAAACAACTTAATTAATTTCCAATGTATTTGACTAAAACGATTTCTACGGGCCTCACTAATTGATCTTGAATTAACTTTAGCTTCGTGTGGCGTTAAGCCTCCCTCCTCGCGTATTGTTGGAGGAGGGGTTGCTAAGCCACATTCGTGGCCATGGCAACTTTCGCTAAGACGAGGATCATCTCACACGTGTGGAGCCTCGCTTATTTCCCCTGAATGGGCAGTAACCGCTGGACATTGTGTATCAAGGACTCAAGACGTTTCACGATACTCGGTTGTCGCAGGTATGTAAGTACAATAAGCAGCGAAAACAGGTGAGCAGTTTTCCAAACGTTATGGAGCCAAGGACTTGGTTGTCCTATTGCTGTATCCTTCGTCGGGGTCACCAGTGTAATTCGTACGAAACTACACTGTAAATTTCTCTCTTTTATTGAGCATGACAAGAGTCAAAACATGACAACGATAGTTTTTCCCAAGAAACCCTTGCGGGCTTAATGACACAGGAATCCCGAGTAGTAGGCTCTTTACCAAACTAATGATGGGCTAACCTTTTGTCGGTTTTATCTCAATATATTCTTCTATATCTACCTCAACAGGGGCACACAACAGGATYACCAGTGGAAAGGTATACCGTCTGTCTAAAATCATCATCCACGAGGACTACAAACACGTGTTTAACGACATCGCTTTGCTCAAGTTTGAGAGCAAAGTCACTCTTGATGACCAAGTGAGCACAATTTGCTTACCAAAACAAGATGACAGGATACCAGCCGGTTCAATGTGCTATATGACAGRTATATTATACAATTTATCAATTAAAACTCTGGTCTCATTAGTTCAAGTTGAATTGGTTGTGCGCTGGAAATCTGGAACTAGCCTCATGTGAACATTAATTAAACTGGATGCTCTTAAATATATCGAGAAACACAGAACGTGAATATCCAATTGTGTAATGTCTTTCCTAGTCCTTTCAAATATTCTGAGATTTTGGAAACACTGAGTACAGTTTTATTGGGCTATACTTATTTCAAAATGTCTTAGGTTGGGGAAGATTCAGCGGCACCCATCCTGGAGGCTCAAAACTTCTTAAGGAAACCATTGCGCCAATCATCGGTCACCAACAGTGCAGGAAAAAGAACGGTGGTTCAGTCAATGACAACACTATGGTCTGTGCGGGCGGTGCAGGCAGTAGTGTATGTATGGGTGACAGCGGTGGACCGTTATCGTGCGAGGAGAATGGTAGATGGGTATTACGTGGTGCCGCGTCATGGGTGACGTCAAAGCAATGTCACGTGACTTCATATTCTGTCTACGCTAGAGTCAGTAGGTTTGTGGACTGGATCAATGCTAAAATTAAAGGTAACTTTGTGCATCGTTTTTTAATTATGTTGTATATATCGCAATCCTTCAATGGTCAGAGATTTTTTAAATTTATGATATACAAATAAATTATAAGCTGTTTTTGTTCTAATAAGATTTTATGATCTTTTTTTATTTGTCATAATTTCTCAGTTTTAATAATACGATCATTTATTTTATTTTACTTTAACTGTGGTAAATTTTAGGTGATCCAGCGCCCAGCCAGGGACCACCAAGCCCACCTCCTCCACCAACCCCTCCCTCACCAAACACTCCAAAACCCCCACAACCTTCAACTCCATCACCAGGTAAGTCCAAAATATAATTCATAAAATTAGAAAAAATGATTACTCAATATAGATTTCAGCTGTAGATTCAGAAAAAAGATATACCTCCTTATTTGGCGGAAAGCTTTTGTGACTAGTGGTTGCAAATATACAGAAACGAATCCCTAAATGGTGCTAGCGTCTAAGACTTACAACTTATATCAATTAATACTTAATACTTAATACTTACATGTATAAGTCATAATTCCCACAATACAAGWCGCTCTGTCGCCAGGTTGATTAATCAAGGTTCTCTGAATTACCCAGAATTCACAATGCACAGAGAGACCAAGTATATTAAAAATTGTATGCTATATTTTCAGGGRACTGCATTGATATATGGGGCTCCAGATGCAGATTGTATCAAAACTCTTGCCACATGGAATTTGTGATGAAAGCTTGCAGGAAAACGTGTAATACTTGTGAGTATTGAAGCATTTCTAATTTTCGGTAATAGCTCRGTTGGTCGTCGGGAATCGGTCGTAAGGCTTKTCGATATTTGTTCGATAGTTAGATCGTTAGCACTGGGTCCGTAAGACGATTTTCTTTGATCAGTTTGTGGTTCGTTGCTGCTTATCTAAGCAACATTTTTCTGTTCTTTTTCTCTCTCTTCTTCYTTTTTTCGTTAGTTCTCTTCACTGGTATATGCCACGTCACTTTTTTATTTTCAATATTTCTTTCAGGCCGACCTTAAAATGGACTTGGAATATAATAGTTTGTGGATTTTACAAATTGATATTGTTATCTGAATAAAGATGTTTATCGCTTTGCCCTCAATTGTAGTATATAAAYTAGTAATATAAAATCCATTATATTTTTTTCACTTAAATCTACAAATCTAAAATTCTCAAGTATGAATTTTGGTGGGTATTATATCGTCAAAAACTTCGAGTTCAATGATCATAATAGTCAAAAAGCACTTGCGCCATTGTCCGCCAAGAAACTCTATGTAATAATGTAGTAATTCTGCAATGAAAATGTGTTTTTGAGGCGTGTATTTCCATGAGTCAGCTAAGTTAACGTATAACAGACATACAGTGTCTTTGCACACTGGCAGTGTTTGTAGAGCTACCACAATACACACGGCTGAACAACCTTACTGTTGGCATAAAAAGGGCAACTCAATAAACAGCAGTGGTTTGTTGACAAAACCTGTGTTAAACAGCTGAACTACAGGTAATGGTTTAGTGCGACGCCTCAGTGCATATAAAGTGTGATTGTTGGTGCTTTAGCTGAGAGTTTCATTGTMTTTCAACATGATAATTGGACTATTTTTGGCTCTTTGTCTATCGGGCGTCACCTTGACTGACGGTAAGCACATTATGTACGTATGTATCGATAGAATAGTTTGTTTTTTTATGTTGTTGTTTTTTATTTGTTTTTTGTTTTGTTTTTTGTCAGTCTTTTTTGTGGATATCACTTTAGTATTGTCTCTAACAAACAAGGATTTAATTTTTTCCACTTGTTCAGTTTCCTTCCATTTCCATCAACAAGTTTTCTTCGTTCAAAAATTTCTGATTTGTTCACGTTTTCATTTGTTTACAACTGAATCTATGCAGAAATTTTATTAACTCAAACGTGTTTTWAGGTGCCTTTAAACGGCTCACAAAGTCATGATACTTTTGAGGGTTTTTTTGAGACATAAACAATAAACAGCTGAATTTTAAGTATCTTTGAAAAAAGATTTTTAAGGACCTTTACTAATTCATCTTGAATTAACTTTAGCTTCGTGTGGCGTTAAGCCTCCCTCCTCACGTATTGTTGGAGGCGGGGTAGCTAAGCCACATTCGTGGCCATGGCAACTTTCACTAAGACGAGGATCATCTCACACGTGTGGAGYCTCGCTTATTTCCCCTGAATGGGCAGTAACCGCTGGACATTGYGTATCAAGGACTCAAAACGTTAAAGATTACACGGTTGCCGTAGGTGAGAACCAATACCATCCCAGTTTCTATGCGATCCTATATGAATCACTATATCCATCTATATTGCGTTATGCTACCTTAACTTACGCTATCCTTGTCTTGTCTAGCGCTAGGATTTTTAGTTACCTGGGCTTGCTGTGTTGTGATTCAATTAGACCCTATTCATTCCAGTGCCATCTTGAAAGATAGCAGAATCTTTGCATCTTTGTAGCGGTTGAGTTTGCTAATGTTATAATGTTATATGAGTGAAAATATATATCTATCTGACTGCAAGTTCAACCGCAGCTAACCGCTGTCTCGCAAAAAGGACAAAAGACGCTGAAATGAGGCTGACTTGTGAAATGGTATAATCAAGTTATGAAGCGCTAACCGATTAGCCTGTAGCGAGAATCTAGCTTAGTGTATTTTCTAACTCGTTCTCCCTTTCAATAGGAGCTCACAACAGATACAGCTCTGGTAGGATATACCGTCTGTCTAAAATCATCATCCACGAGGACTACAAACACGTKTCTAACGACATCGCCCTGATCAAGTTTGACACCAAAGTTGATCTTAATGACAAAGTGGGTACAATCTGTTTACCTGAACAAGATGACAGGATATCAGCCGGTTCGATGTGCTATATGACAGGTATAATTAGATTATCGGATATAGCTATGTACCTCGACTTCGGCTCGGCTCGGTGAATATGAACGATAACAATGCACTTCTGCTTAAATTCGGTGAATAATTTTCAAGTATATTTCAGCTACTGCTTTTTATACTTTACCTTTTTAAATACGTATTGTACTTCATTCAGTTGTTTGTTAAGAAAGGCCTTATGGAGCCTCTCGTCACTATGTCATCGTGTTGAGTGACCGAGTAACCATCCACTTGTAGCAGGCGTTCCTTGCTAGTCCTTGATATTTTTAACTTTGAAAAGAGAAATTCTCTAGAGAAAAACAAACGAAGTAACAACAGCAAAGAAAAGAAGAAAAAAAT